GAAGAATTTTCGTTGCACGAACCGATATAACTCTACTAGCTTCGTTCGGTCACTGTTGCTTCGTTCTGGTTAGACAGAAATTGTACGAGGCTACACCACTGCAACTTAAATAAACACTGGGAGAGGAACAAGCAGCATACAGCAGCTTCGAGTTTAGTTAATTCGGGTCATCGTCCTTCGTAACTCGTCGCGCATATTTAATTTTCTATGTAAAGCGTCCTGGACAGATGCATCATGGATGCTTTCAAAACGAACTGCATTTTAATATACACTTTATAAACATATTCATATATCAAATAGTTTTCAGTCTATTAAATTTGAAAGGTGCTTGACTGATTCGAGAAATCTGTAGTCAAATTGCGATTGACATAAAAAAGAAAATAGAAATATTTCTTTGAAGAGCTTCTATTAATGACACAATTTTTATAGCGAGAGTCAATTTGTATTATATGCACATGTTGGTAAATTTCACTAAATATTTAAGATACAAAAATCGATGAAAGTTTGGTAGCTCGAAGAAGCACACAAGCAAGAAGCAATCGTTACGTCAATTCTCCACTTAGCCTTTACCACAGGTTTTACGTTGGACATTATATAGGTTTTTCAGAACGATCGAAGCTGTACACATTCACACATAGCAAGAAGAAATGTCGCAAGAAGGTATGTGCGTACTAAAAGATAATACTTAGAACGTTTTTATGATGCGACGGTTGAATCAGCTGCGAATGTGTACAAAACAACGAGCATTATCTTAGTGACATTGCTGGTAAGTATCAGCAAAATTATCATTTCAAATGTAGATATTAAAATGTCATTGACATTATAATAAGTTAAAAACAATATAAAGAATTTAAAAAAAGAATAAAAAATTAATTAAAAAAAAAAAGTATATCCATGACTTGGAGACATATAATTACATATTTATGGAGTGTAAGAAGATCAATTAACAAGTAGGAGTGTACGATGATCAATTAACAATGGAATAATAGATTCTTATCCTACGCATATATGCGGACGTGACGACAGAGCTCTTCGATATGGCAGATTGTGCACTGTTACTAAGTGGAAAAATCCTCATTACAATATACTATTCAGGTAAAATTGAAATAAAAAGAATTGATTATGAAATTCGAGACAAACAAGATAACGGAAAAAATCGCGTAGAACGCCACAAAGCGACGGCCCTGATCTTCTCATGGAAGGCAGCTGACAGGCCCCCGTCAGCTGAGAGCGTACACAAAGTCCAATGCCGTATGCGCACGTACTTTTAATCTTCGGTCTGTTTCCAAGGAAGAGTTCACTATCGTAAAATTCATATGTATCTTCAGTCTAAGACTAGTTATTCTAATGATTTAAATAATTGCACACCAAATATATAATTTTAAGAAAGAAAAAATAGTATTGCGTCGTTTCGACCGATCAAATAAAAACAGCATGGACGTATACCTTTTTAAGTAGCATTTCAAATATATAATTATTTGTTTAAAAAGATTAATTTGAAGCAATGTAAAAGTAAAAAATATCACGAATAATGATTTTTCAATTCGACACAAATATATCAATAACAATTGTGGTAAACGCAACCATTGCACTTTCAATTGTCCAGGATACGTCACATTTCATGAAACATATTAAATCGTAGAAAAATGGCAATAAAATTGAATAAAATATATATAATGTTGTCAAAGCAAACAAAGAACGCGTGCATAAGAAGAGGGTGCATTGAAACAAGGGTTTACGCACCTCCATATGCATCCGTGGCCGCGGCAACGAGAGACGATGCGTGTCCTCGGCCTCTTCTCCGTCTCGAGCTTTTGATCACGGATCACGGCTTCTTCGACTTCGCGAAATGCCACAAACAACGACGACGACAACTCGTTTTGATCATCACTAACGCGAAACAGTCGCATCCAGCGAGCACCGTACTGCTGATCGGCTCGGCGTCGTTCGATTTATTTCGGTTCGTCCGCAGGCGGGACGATATACGATGACCTATGCGCATGCGCCATTTGAATAAATCCGTCTCCGGACATGATTACCAGAGGTCGCTTATAACAAGCGCTATCTTTTCTTTATTGTATTATCGTATGAAACGCGGGAGATTTCAGGATATTGAAATATGCAAGCAATGAAATTTTGTTACATTTGAAATATTTGATTTCTCAACAAAATAATTCGAAATAAATTTGTATATTGCACAAATGAAACGAATGAAAATTTTAATTGTATACATGTACTACATGTTCGTATTTTCGTGGTTTCAAAAATAGGAATACTAATTGTTTATATAGCCCATATACATGTCCTCATACAATGGGCAAAATATTATTTGGACGAGATAATCCGTCTCATGTGCATATGGAGGCAGGAATGCTGAAGAAGGAAAGGTACTTTAATCGCGAGCTCGAAAAAAGGCACATTAAAGCTCGTTTTACAATATTTCATCGTTTAACAACTTCTTTTTTTTCATCTAAATGCAATTTTAATTTAGGTCGTATTTTGTGTAAAATCATGAAAAACGCATTGCATGTTTATATCTGTCTGGAAAAAATATATATGTATGTTAAAACTATGTAGGAAAGCTACCTTTATTACTTCTTTCATTTCTTTGCGCAATTCTATTAACTATTACATATCTCTGACGAAACTATTACAAAAGTTTATTCTGCTGGATGATTTTGTAAGAATATGTGAATGGATTTCACACATATTTTGGTTTTATAAAGTAAAAAAGTCGAAGTCAAGAACATAAGAAAGTACGGAAGTTTAAGAAATTGAACGTCAATCGTATAAAAAACAAAACGATTTTAACGATTCGAACTTTATTCGAATCTTTTGAATTCGTAAAGATAATAATTATCCATTTAATGGAATATAAATTTTCATAATGCTCTTACGCTCTTAATTCTCTAGAATTTGTTAAACAAATTGCGCGATTACAATAACGTAAAAAGTACGTTTAAAGACACCATTCATTTTTCTTGGGCAGACCTACAATTTTAAATGCTCCATAAATGCGCTATGTCTGCCACCCTCTCCCTCTTTCTTGATACATTCTACAAATATTTATTTTTTACTGATCATTCATACGATCAACATTTCTCTCAACTTCCACCATACAAGCACAGCATGAAGGATAACAACAAAGCAGTAGTACATAAAAAACTTATTTTTTTTATGTTTGTTTATTCAATATGTATTTTCTTATAAAGTGATGTCCTACTAATTAAAAGTAAATGAAAAAAAAAAA